CCCGCCCCCGAGACCCCCGGTTCTGTTTCCTCACTGGAATACGTGTTGGTGGGATTGAGGAGCTCCTCAAAGTATTCCTACCACCGCCCGACAATGTCCGCAGTTGACGTCAGCAGCTCCCCGCCCCCACCGTAAACAGTGTGAGCAAGTTGCCGCCTTCCCCCCCTGAGGTGCCGGACGGTTTGCCAGAACTTCTTTGGAGCCAATCGATAGTCTTTCTCCATGGCCTCACCGAACTCCTCCCACGCCCAAGTTTTTGCCTCCGCAACTGCCGCTACTGCGCTCCGCTTGGCCCGCCGGTATCTGCCAGCTGCTTCCAGAGACCCACAGACCAACCATGCCCTGTAGGCCTCCTTCTTCAGCCTGACGGCTCCCCTTACCTCTGGTGTCCACCAGCGGGTTCGGGGATTACCACCACGACTGGCCCCAGCAGCCTTGCGGCCACAGCTCGCAACCACCGCCTCGACAATAGCAGAGCGGAACAAAGCCCATTCAGACTCAATGTCCCCCTCTGCCCTCGGGACGCAGTCGAAGCTCTCCCGTAGGTGGGAGTTGAAGATCATCTTGACCGGTTCTTCCGCCAGGCGTTCCAAGCAGACCCTCACTGCTCGTTTGGGCCTGCCAGGTCTGCGCGGCGTCCTCCCCTGCCATCTGATCCAACTCACCACCAGGTGGTGATCAGTTGACAGCTCTGCTCCTCTCTTCACCCAAGTGTCCAGAACATATGGCCGCAGGTCAAATGATACAACTACAAAGTCAATCATTGACCTGCAACCTAGGCTGTCCTGGTGCCACGTGCACCAATAGACATCCTTAAGTCCAATAACTGAACACCACTCGGGTTCAGATCGGGCAGGCCGTTCCTCCCATCACGCCCCTCCAGGTCCTGCTGTCATTGCCCACGTAAGCGTTGAAGTCCCCCAGCAGAACAATGGAGTCCCCGGTCGGGGCACTATCCAGCACTCCAAAAAGGGCGGGTACTCTGAACTGCTGTTCAGCACGTAAGCGCAGACAACAGTCAGGACCCATTCCCCGACCCGAAGGCACAGGGAATCAACCCTTTCGTCTACCAGGGAGAACCCCAACATACAGGCAGAAAGTCTGGGGGCTATCAGAAAGCCCACGCCCTCCGCCTCTCACCCGGAGCAACTCCAGCAAAGGAGAGAGTCCAACCCCTCTCAAGGACTTGGGTTCCAGAGCCGGAACTATGTGTCGAGGTGAGGCCAACTATATCTAGCTGGTAACGCTCAACCTCTTCCACAAGCTCCGGCTCCTTCCCCGCCAGAGAGGTGACATTCCACATCCCAAGAACCAACTTCCGTAGCCGAGGATCGGACCGCCAAAGCCCCCGCCTTGGTCTGCTGCCCGATCCACAATGCACCACTCCCTTCAGGATCCCTCTGTGGGTGGTGGGCCTGCAGGGGGACAAGCCCATGTAGCCGGTTCGGGCTGGGTCCAGCCAGACCCCATGGGCGAAGGCCCGGCCACCAGGTGTTCGCCCACGGGCCCCAACCCCAGGCCTGGCTCCAGGGCAGGGCCCCGGTAACCCTCCGGGCCGGGTACACGCTCTCCTGTTATTGAATATTGTGGTCGACTGTGTCAAATGCAGAACTCAGATCAAGCAGAATTAAAATCAAACAGGCCCCAGAATCAGCGGCAAGCAGTAGATCGTTAGTGACCTTAAGTAGAGCTGTTTCTGTGCTGTGCTGGGTACGGAGACCTGATTGAAATTGCTCAAAAATAGTATTGTGATTCATGTGGGATATTAGTTGAGATGCAACAGACTTTTCTAAAATTTTAGATAAAAATGGTAAGTTTGAAATTGGTCTAAAATTATCTAAAAAAAGAGGGTCGAAAGTGGGTTTTTTAAGGAGAGGTTGAACTATTGCATGTTTAAAATAAGATGGAACAGAGCCAGTGGACAAAGAGCAGTTTATAATGAAGAGAATATATGGGCCGACAGTCTGAAATACTTGTTTCAGAAATCTAGTTGGGATAATGTCTAGTTGGGAGGTGGATGAGTTTAAAAAGGAGATTAATTCTTCTAATTCATACATTGAGATTTCCTTAAAGTATGACATAATGGCAGAGGGTTCAGAAAAAAAAATGGAGAGAGAGCCAGTCACAGGTGTAATATGAAGTCTGATGGCATCTATTTTATTAATGAAGTGATGAAGAAATTGTTCACAGATCTCTGTGGAAGCTTCCAAATGCTGGCTGGGGGGAGGGCCAACCACTGAGTTTATCGCTTGAAATAAAACTCTTGGGTTGTGACTGATGCTGGCAATCAGATTTGAGAAATAGGAAAACCTAGCCTGTTTTACTGCCTGCTGGTAGGCCAGCATCAGACTTTTGAGGAGATCATAAGATGCTGTACATTTGTCTTTTTTTCCATTTACGTTCGGCTCTTCTACACTGCCTCTTTAAATCCCTTGTGTGGTCATTAAGCCAGGGGAGGGCATTTTGTTTAGTTTGTTTTGTCTTGACAGGGGCCATGACATCAAGGATATTCAGACAAGTTCTATTAAAATCAGCAAGTAAAACATCAACAGAGGCGCCTGTCTGTGTAAGGTTATGGGCAGAGGCAGCTAAAAACATATTGCAGAAACTACTAGCTGAATTACCATTAAAAGACTGTGAGCGGATGCAAGTAGATGGCCTGTGAGCAAGAAGCGGGAGCAACGTATGGAAAATCACAGTTTTGTGATCAGAGACATTAAAATCCAGCAGTTCCATATTGTTTGGTGAAACTCCAAAGGAGAGCACAAGGTCGAGAGTATGTCCCTTTCCATGAGTTGGATTATTAACAGACTGTACCAGATTAAAAGATTCAAAGAGATTAATAAAATCGGCAGTAAAACCAGACATAGAAGGGCAACAGACATGTATGTTAAAATCTCCAAGGATAAGAACTCTATCATAACTGGCCATGATAAATGAAAGCAACTCAGAAAATTCTTATATAAAACCAGTGTTAGCCTTGGGTGGCCTATAAATTAAAACAAAGAGTATAGGATACTAACCATTTAAAAGAAAACACAGAGACTCAAAAGAAGAAGAACTTTTGAGAGAGACAGGGGAACATTTATAGTTGCTATTAAAAATGATAGCTACACCACCACCACGGCCAGATAGCCTAGGCTGATTAAAACATGAGTAGTTTGGGGGACAGGCTTCTGTTAATGGGACAGAATACCCAGGGCTTAACCAGGACTCAGTGATAAAGAGGAAATCAATACTGTTTTTCAAAATAAAATCCTGACATAGAAATGACTTGCTTGCAAGGGACCTCACATTAATAAGACCAAACACAGCAGAGTTGCTGGAAGTTGATTCAGCAGTAGACTCAATTGAAGGGACTAATTTATGATGCGCTGACATAGGCCTAATTTCAGACACATTGTTGAAAAGTCATTCTCTTGCTCTTTTCTCTTCTTTGCAGGATGTCAGTGTCTCGGAGGTGTCTGTGCTGTGTCAAATATTTGATGTTTGTCTTTAACCTCATCTTCTGGGTTAGTATTTGCTCAGTCCAAGTTGCTGTCATGTTTCTTTATTCATTTACAATTTCCCTAAGAAAGTAGCCTATGTGAGATTTCTCTGTAGCCCTTTGCAGTTCACTGCATGCTTTTAAAATTATTTAACACAACACAATTTGGAAATTTCCAATCTTTACTAGAGACAATTTTAGTTGCTTTGGTACTAATGCCGCATTTTGACTCTGACTTGACATTACATTTCCTGTAAAGCTAGGAGGATGTGGCTTGTTCGGTGTTGGAGTCTGGTTGTCCTTCACGCAGGCAGAGTTTTCCTCTCTTCCCCTGTCCTTTCCGTCCCTCTCAGCTGCCAATCTGCTGCTGGTTGCCGGTGGCATTACCATGGTGACCGGCTTCCTGGGTTGTCTTGGAGCCCTGAAAGAGCAGCGCTGCCTGTTGTTCATGGTGAGAACATTCTCCTAATTATTTATCAAAAAAATATATTAATAAACAGTTACACATTTTGCTTACTTACATATTTATTTTAATACCCATACAGTAATATAGACAATACATGTTATTTTTGTTTTAACATTTGGGTTGATGCATATTAATTGAAGGGTCTGGAGATCCACCTCCAGGAAATTTTAAGCCTCAAACACTTAATTTCCTGCATTCTGGTGAATTTTTCTGCATCAGTTTATGGTGTTAATGTATTTATTTATGTAAAGGAAAACAAAATTCAGGTGGCAGGTGACAAATAAAAATATAAATAGAATGTAATGCTGTAACACTCTCAGGCATTCTGTAGCCTACTGCTTTCAGATGTTATTCTCCTGTAGATCAGCTTGTCTTCTCTCATGTTGCCTGTTGAGTCAACACACAAGTGTTTTTACTGTGTTTAAATGAGTTGTCATGTTCTGCAGTGAGGTTTAAGTGGTTCTGGATGTATAGAGTAGAAGCTGCTCTGACACATGGACACACTGAGGATGATTTCTGCCTCAGAGTTCTTCAGTTAGATATGAGTGCTGAAGAAAAACAGTCTTTTGGGGAAGTTTGGTTCATTTACATCAAATTCAGTTTTCCTACAAACATGGGCCTTTTCTTCAGGTCTTAAATGCAAGGCTTATTTTATATTTTCTTTTGTTGTTACTTTCCTATTAGAACCCTTTCATTTAACCTGTGATCCAGCTAAATGCTTTATTTCCTTTTCGTTCAGAAATTAAATTAAATTCATGTTTTTTAAAATTAAATCCACCGCCCAAGAATTTGTAGACAATAAAGTTTGTGTATACGAGAAAACTGTTGTGATTTCACTAAATAGTCACGTATTCATACTTAAAATTATCCTCTAAATAAGTTTTAAACATTCCCAGAGAACAGACGCCTGCAGCAGCTGAAGCTTTGCACGTTTGCAGTTTTGGTTGATAAAGACATGTTGAAGTGGGAAAGTAATTCAGCATCTGTGTCCGCTCACACTGGACAGCTGGCGAACCGGAATCAGCCAGAGATTTGAGGGAGACAGTGCGATTTTACACCAGATGAGCTTACTTGTTGTTAATGGTGGGTTATCGCCTAAATTAGGCTGTGTGTACTGAGATGTTTTAATAGTATTAATAATAGTCACAACAGCTACAAACGATACTGAGACTTAGGACAAACACTGTCGTTACCTCGCTGTCCAGAAGGCAGGTCACAGGGAGATGTGATGCTTCTCTACAGGGCGCTCAGTTTAAGTGCATTAACTGTGGTGTCTGTGACAAATGATGTTGATGAGGGAGGGGCAGCCAGGCGCTCTTGCGGTCTGGCAGAATTAAAACTCAAATGCGGTTGTCAGGTGTTGCAACATGCTTTTTTTATGGAGAATTGATGCCATGGGCAAAAATTAAAAAACTAAAATATCAAATTAGAAAAAGAAATAGAAAAGAAATGTCTTGCAAAAAGGGCTCTTATCTACTCAGAGGGCAAAAGGGCAGGTACTTGAGCACCACCTGGGGTCTTTGTGCACTTGCCTGAAAAGGTCCACATGACAGAGAGGGTGCAGATATTCACTTTATTTGATAGCCAATCGTAGAGAGAGGGCAGGGACTGAGGGGAGAGAGAGATGGGGGATGACGGGTATCAAAGATGCTCCTGCTCATACATGAATTGGTTCATGTTGAAGTATTCTGATCTGGATACAATAACATCTCACTAGAGATCATCTATGTAGCTTGCACTTGTATACATAATGTCAGTCTCTAACTGCTCTCCTCTGTTCTGCAGTTCTTTGTGATCCTCTTACTCCTGGTCATGACAGAGGTGACTCTAATGCTGGTTATACACATCTTCCATGACAAGGTAAGCTCACCATCTACTATTGCAATGTACACAGCAAAGAGACACGCTCCCATTTGTAACAGTCAAATAAAAAAAAACACAATGAAGATTATAAGATTAGAATGAGAATAAAATGAGCAATAAAATATCATTTTACAACCTCACTACTGTATGATAAATGATTAAGACAAAGGTTAATCTGAAAATTAGAAAAATATAAAGGACTTAAAAATGAAGAGAGGAAGAAACAGCTGTTCTCATTCACAGGTTGTTAAATACTGATCCTTTGTCACAGCCCCTCAGCATGTAATAACAACGCTGGCCCCCTTTGGCAATTTCTGAAGTTCGGTGTTCTCTTAAATTTTAAGGGTTGATTTGATTTTAAAATGGACCTTTATTCCAAGGTTACATCAGCCATTTTAAAGAAACTACAAAATAGAATCTAAAAAACTACAGCAGCAAAAAAAAACCCAGAAAAACCAGCAAAACCACATCAGAACTGTATCAGACGGAGCGAATAAAAAGTAAAAGTATAAAAAAATACAGAGGCAATAATAACTGACTGTTTATAATGTAGTCTGTTTCAAATGAAGCTGGTACCCTCTGCAGTTGTGGCGAGTAAAAGCCCCACCCGTTTTTTAATTTTCTTACCTTATGTCCGTCTCCATTATAAAGAAGTAACAGTTGTTTGCTAGCTTGATGCTAATGGCAGTACTCACTGGATTGCTAAAGTGGCTCTGCTGTTTCACCCCATCATTTTCCCTTTTCACCCTGTATAGTCACATCCCTAGAGGAAATTTAAAAAAGGCTGGCGTGTTGTTGCCATACAGCTGTCCACACCAGCAGATAGCTCTGTGTTTCCATTGGTAGTGACGGCTGTGACGGAAGCAGTCGTGAACGACAAAAAGAGAATCCAACATGCTAGCCATTGGGCCTGTCCCAATACCCACACTTCCCCTAGAAATACCCACTTGCACTTGGTTGTGCGCGTTCATGTACACAGCGTCAAAATATTTTAAATAAATCGACTTACCCGAATAAAATCAATCAGAACTAGAAGACGTCGTAGGCGCCTCCTGTTTTCAGCATTTCTTCTCCGTTGATTCATCAGACGGAGAAGAATAAACATAACACATGCCACAACACAAGCGCTGGAGCCAGCATTTTCATTGCGTTGTTACTATGCGTGACATATGCCTGCACATCGGCTGCGCCAATTTGCATCAAGTGGTGTCCCATTTCTCAGGGAAAGATCTCTACCCTAATATTTCTCACTTCCCTCATCAAGGGTTATCTCACAAACGAGGGCACTCAATACCAAGTAGAAGATTTAAGGGGTAGAAATGGGACAGGCCCTTTCTGTTGGAACGTCGTGACGTGTCCCAGACGTGACGTCTGTTGTCATTAACTATGACACACTACACAAGATGAAACTATGGATTATTGTGTGTCAGCCCTGTGAAAAGGCAGGTGACCTGTTCAGGTGTACCCTGCCTCGGGATAGGCATAAGCCCCAGTGACCCTGCAAAAAATAAGCTGGTACAGCTAATGGATGGATGGATCATTTGAATCACTAACCATGTGTCTTGCTATCTTTCTCTTTTTTTTTTAGCTGGATTCCAAAGCACAAGGTGAATTAAAGGAAGGTATGAAGATTTATAATTCAGAACCTGGACTGAAAAAATCCTGGGACAATGTCCAGAAAATGGTAAGCGCTCCTAGCAAACAATGCTTGACTTCTTAGGGCCCTGATCACATAGAAAACATTTTAGCAGCTGGACGCGGCTTTTTCTGTGTTTTTAATGGGAATTAAGCTTTTTGCTCACTGTTTTTGCTCTGCTACATGCCTCATGTGGCATTCAATTTAAAAAGAAGGCAGTGCAATGTGCCTCGCATTTTGCAACTTGCAAACCACTTTCTGTGTCATCAGGGCCTAGTGTTGCATGACAACCCAATAGCAAGAAATAATGTTTTACAACACTGTGGTTAATGCATAGTCAGGTTTATGCTACATTTATATGGAATCAGGGGGACAGTAAAAGACAAGAGCAGATGGTAAAATTAGGTGAGACTGGCACAGAATAAAGGCAGCAGTGACAGTAGATGGCATTGCCCTTTAGAGTTAAAATATTTTAACTTTTTAATGTCCCCTGCCATGGATTTTACAACCAGATTTTATGCAGCATCCTCACACCTGCGACATTACCAGACAAAATACATAGAATAACCAATATAAAATAATTTACTTTGATATATTTTATTCCATTCTTTGTAAACAATATGGTAGGCTGACCAAACGTCCTCTTTTGCCCGGACATGTCCACTTTTCACGTCCCGTCCGAGGCGTCTGGTTTTCCGTGTGTTTGTGTGTGTGTGTTAGAGTGCGGCACAGGCCGCATATTTCTGTCCGAACCTGAACCGAGCCCGACATTATTTAATGACCAAAACACTGACTTTGTGTCACACAGTTGCTACGGTTACAGGCTATTTAACAGGCCAGACGTGCGCCGTGGGTGTTCAGCAAAGAGGGAGACCTGAGGGGAGCGGGAGGCGGAGGTCCGACGCTTCCAGCGAGAGGAGAGGGAGAAATATAACAAAATAAGATAAAATAGGAAAAACCTGTCTCCCTCTTTTATTTTATTTTCAGCGTTTAATCAAGGCGGAGGCGAGCGGCTGGAGGTCCGAGACTTCCAGCGAGGAGAGAGGTAGAAACAAACAGCCAGTGTGTGTCTGTGTGTGTTATGTTCAGGTGTTGTCACGTAAATAACAGTGCCCAAGCAATAAACAGGACAGACAATAGGATTTTATTTATTTTTACACTACATTTTCACTGAAAGCTGACCGAATCCAACCCGAGCCCGAATACAATTTATAGCTACATTTTGACCAAACCCGGTACCGTCGGGCTCGGATTGCCACGCTCTAGTGTGTGTATGTGTCCCTATTGGGTCCTATCTGAATTTCTGTCTTTGAGAGATATTATTTTGTAATATAAGTGAATTTCCTATCCATACATATAAATTTTAAATATATTAAAATGATAAGGCATCTTTGAGTAAACTGCGAGTATCATTTAAGTAGGCTATGTCGTGGCCGGCCGAGTGTCCTCTTTTTTGGAAATCAAAATATGGTCACTGTTACACCCGCAAACGTAATAACAGCCCACAAGCGTAATAAACCACAAACGTAATACAAATCTGCAGCTTTGAATGTAATAATCCCGCAAATGTAATAAATTTCCTACAAACGTAATAGCAGCTGCC